CACACACACACACACACACACACACACACACACACACACACACACACACACACACACACACACACACACACACACACACACAAAAAAAGAAAACCTAAATGAATGGATGATACGGTGCAGAGGCTGGGCGTCATGCCGAGTATAAAGGAAGCAGGCAGTCTTACAGTCCAGCTTGGCCCAGGGGTACTCCATGTCCCAAACCATCCCCGGCCAACGCCTGCACGCTGTCATGGAGCATGGATGACATGTTAGTGGCAGCGATGGCAGCCAGAGCTGGATGGACACACAGGCTGATGGGTGGACACACACACACAYGTGTAGACACACACTCACACACYCTTCAGGTGGAGCACATTTGAGAAAGGTGAAGATGGAAAGCAGCTGGTAAGCCATCATAGCCACATTAAAACGTGTACATTGATCAACCATAACATTATGACCACTGGGATTAATTTGAATAGRCCTGGTCTGTTGTTGCATGGCATTCACCAGGTCACTGAGGGTCTATGGAGGTCTTTGGTGCCATGCCTCAAGAATCTAATACTTGACTCTGGTTTGTTCTGACCATCCCAAAGATCTGTGAACATTTAGACAATTAGAAAGCCAATCAACACCTCAGATACACTGGGGTTCTAATCCATTCCTGAACCATTATTGCAGCATGTCAGAATACAGACTGGTTAGTGCAATAATGAAAGAAATACTGACATTCTTGGTAAACTTATAGATCCCACAGAGATCAGTGGTTATAATGGTATGGCTGACTCGTGTGTATTCTGTCTGATAAGTCTCAGGCATGACAGCCAGTGGTAAATAAACACATTCAGAAGCCTATTTGACAGACTATTATACTACAGAGGTAAACATGTGGATTTGTACATTTTAATGTTTAAAAAAAACCCACAAACACAACTGCAACATCTGAAAAAAATTCTTCCACACCTCAAATTTGAAGCTCAAACAGTTCTGATAAGTTTTAAGAACAAACTTCAGTAACTACTGATGGTTCCAGTGAGCAAAATACAAAGGCATGGTAGTTTTCTTTGCAGTAAAAATTATTTACATGGGCATTTTAACATTTTTTTTAACATTTTGTAGATGTAACTTATAATTTATCCTTATAAAAAAGAGGCCAGTCACTGAATCACAATAGCCTTTTTGTAGAAATAAACAGTGAAATTACTAAATTATTGTTAACATGTTAACATGCATGGGTCCTAGAAAAAAAAATCTGTTCAGAACTAATTACAAAGCAGTCAGGGGGCGATGGTTATGCTGTGTGCAGAATTATTAGGCTATAATTTTCTTGAATATTAAGATGCTTTTTCTTCCTACTTAACTACAAGACTAAAAATTTAACAAATGAAAACTGAGCTCTATATTTCTCTAAAAAAATGGCAGCATTATGTGTGCAGRTTTTCCATCTACGCAACAAAACAGTTTTCCAAACGTACCTATTGCAGAAAGTGTAGATTGCACAATATGGCATGACATTCAAAGACAAAGACATGTTTTATCTTTCSTCATGATAAATCCCACTTCAGAAAAAACATGTTAATTTAAGGATTTAGGACTGGTGAAAAAAGACTCAGGTAAAAAAAATCAGCCATCTCGTCTGACTTTCCGAGCTGCCCAAGATGGAAAATAAAGTTGACTTGTTGATTTTTTTATTATGATGTTGATGAATTTTAACTAACTGACTGTCTGTGCTGCTAAATAAGTTAATTTGTTGGCTACATCCAGCATCACTCTCCATTTATTCTGCTCATAAAGCTTTAAAAGAACAAGAAAAAACAGTCTTTGTGTATGTCTTGGACAAATGCTGACTCTTCAATTTATTCTTTGCGAGTAATCTTGTTGGTCACATTTTCTCTTTTTGCTTTTATCTCAACTATATATCTAAGCACTTAAGACACTTCAAGTAATTTGCTGTTCTCTGAAACACAGCTGCACTTTCCCCCCATTTTTTCACAATTTTTTTGTTTTGTTTCTTATTTTGTGTAATTTTCAACTATCACAACACAAAATTTAGGTGGTTACACCTCAAGAAGGAAGTCACTAATATTAATGTGTCTGTCTGTCATTCTGCTAAATAACATTTTACATTTCAAATCAGATTAAAACTTATTTTTCTTGTTAAGTGCCTCAGCTTCATAGA